CGTTAATAGCAGACGGAAACGAAAACACTGCTCCTCAACGGCCATCACCGGAGTGACCCTTGAAGAAGAGCCAAGTAGGCATCGAAACGCTGTATTTCCAAAAGGACTTGGTTGAACGTTCTCCATTTTTATTTGTTCCACCCAGCCATACTGATCTCAGTCGAGTGTTTACGTTAAAGATTTCTAGGAAGTATGGTGAATCTAGCCAGTCAATTTCTTTAGCGCAATGTTTGGATATCAGTTGGATATATTTGATCAATTAATCTATAGAGAAAGCCTCTACCCTGACAGTACAAACTATAACACATGGCATTTTCATACTTCTGCATTACCCGGAGCTCAATTCTGTCTAGATATTTATCAGAGTTCAGAGCCTGGGACCTACTTCATGCTCCAGACCTGGTCTTCACCAGTGCTTTTTAGATAGCTGGCTGGTATGTCAAAGAAGCGTTGCAAACTTTTTGTAGCACATCGGAAGTGCAGCATGTGGCAATGTTAGCTGGCCCAGCAGCATTAAGGCCCAGGGGGAACAAACGCCGCACAAGCCTTAACGTTTCTTAAGTTGTTCAAAGGGAGGCTGCAAACAATGCCATATTTTCTATAGTTGCAGTGTGGCAGTCAGTTTTATAGCTTAGCCTGCCGGAGGCGCCACATGCAGCCTTTTGCCTCTTTTGACTAACACTAGACTAGTCCAGCTCATATTGCCACTAATTGTACCTTCCCACGTTTAGTTAAAAAAAGTGCTCATCCAACATAACCGATCCGTGGGAACCGTTAAAGGCAGCAACTGTAAACGCAGTGACGTCTGATTAATGTGGACCTTAATAAATATGAATACCCCCCCCCCCCCCCCCCCCCCTGTAGACACCATTTACGAAAACGAACTTTGTAAATACGTAAATACTTGTCTCGTTATTATGGACAACTCACATTTCGAACAATGTTTGGGGGAACCGAGGTGTCCATAATAACGAGACGTGATTGTATAAGGAGTTACAAATTTACTTTTTCATAGCACTACCTCATTCTGTAAGGGCTCTTTTTGTGATTTAGCTCAAACTGGCAAAACTACTAATATATACGGTGTTCGAAGAGAAAGGATACGCGTGCCACTGCGTGCCAAGCGGGCTTTGAGAAAACGAAGAATTAAAGAAAAATTTCTTCAAGTTCAAGAGAGGAATAGTCTTTTTCTTCTCCACTGGATGATATAACGTGATGGCAGCTGGCAGCAACTGGTTATTATTGTTATATCCCAAGGGACTTTACGATGAGATCTACTGGGACGACATCATGTGGTTAGCGTGCTGATGGCAATAGCTCCAATATTCAGGAGCCTGAAGTGCTGAGAGACCACTTGTACAAAGCAGGACTTGATCGAATTCCTCCTGAGTTTGCAACCTGGTTCCACCGTGTAAGGTTCTCCTCCTCGAATGTCTCATAGATTCCGGAAATTACTATGCGTCAGAAGTATCCCAGTAATTCCCCTTCCAACTAATGACTTCAAAGGGTTTTTCAAGACAGCACTGAGTAAGACCGATGGTCATGAGAAACGAGAGCCCTTTGAGCCATTATTTTTCGTTGATAGGCAAAACCGCCGCTACTGCACTTTCCCAACCAATTACGCAAATTGTGAAATGGCGAGTTGCGGATTATTGTCGAGTGATCATTTATGGCTGCGACATCAATAATTGCCTAAGACATAATAGGATAGAAGCCAGAACCCCCATAAGGAATGTTATGCTTCAATATCATTCTCAGTGGCCACACTACAGCTACACCCTATTTCAGCGTAACTTGAATTTCTACGCAAAGGGATTGGTGAGGGAGATGATGATGGCAGCAAGGTGGTTCCAGCTCAATTTAGTTTTGGGAACAAAGGAAGTCAAAGTGCAAGTTTTGGAATTCAGTGCGCCGATTTTCAAGTGGTGATTGGTGCGGAACGACCCATCTGTGAAAGCTGTAAAAAGAAATCGGCGTGAACTTTTGTTGGTTTAATGTGTTCGATGAAAAACGCATAACCTAAAATTACGACATCGCAAAAAAAAAAATTATCGAATAGATTTATGGTTTTCTTTATCTTCGACAAACTAGAAAAAAAAAATAGATTAACAAGGTTGATAAGGTAAACTTAGTAGAGCGCTTCTGGGTGGATTCAAGAGGGAGAACGAGCGAGTTGGCATGAGATATTCGGATGAAACATATTCATTCTTAAGGAGCAATAAACTCACTGGATCCTGGGGAAGTAGAGCCAAGCCCCCTGTATGGTCGCCATTTTGGTTCCCGGAATGAGCAGTTCCACCTTAGCATATCCATTCTTGGTGAGTCCACCCGATTTCCCGGTGACAGGTTGCTTTATTCCCTCTGTCTCGCGTGAGATGACACGTGGTGGCGCCAGTGTGCAAATAGCCCCCAGTCGCTTCCGTCTCTAAACCAGACGGCGGGTTTCGCAGTATTTCCGAAATCAAATGTACTCGTTATCTTCTTTAGATGGCCGCTTATATTGGTGCCAGACCTAATTCACTCTTATGATAAAAGAATGATGAGTAAAAAAATAAAAAATAAACGGAAACCGCAAGTCTGTCGGGGGTTCCAAATAGATGGCGCCACTCAGTTTGTGGCCAAAGAAAAAAGGGGCGAATCAAGACATTTCTTGAAAACCGAGATTTCGTTATCCACACACCGGCTAAACAAGTGCAGATCTTAGCAAGACCATCACACGCGGTGTCGGTGCGTGGCGGCATAGAAATTTCATTTTCATGTCTCGAAATACGCAAGGACAAAAATATCATTCTAAGAGATATGTTTAGATAAGCGTGATTGGTAAGTTGATTACATACACACTGCCAAAGACGCTTACATTGACGAGAAAAGCTTTTCGCACTAAGATGCTCCATGGCGATCTTAGCGCGACTGGTTCTGAACGAGCCTTTCGAAGCTACGAAGATTTTATTGGACCAAAATTTCGATTGCCATGGCAACTGAGACCAAACAGTCAATCTCCTGGCGAAGTTTGGTCGTCTATAGGTTAGTATGTATTTGTGTCCGGCTAGCAGACAGGGAAGGAAATACCGCTCCTTTCCCGGAATTCATTGACTTGATGGAGCACGTGAGACTTGTAGAATGGCAGTTTAAATAAATTCTTATCGAAAGAGAAGCTGATATGAAGAAAACCGAGCATGCGGTTAGGATTATTAGCAATATGGGCCAGGAAACCGGGCTGTAGGGTCCGCTACGCCCTGCTTATTGTCCCCAGAGTTCCGTGTTTACCAACACAAGAAACGTCTTCTTTGCTTCACGTGTCTCGATCGAGCATGGGGCAAAGATTGAGCGCGACTGGTGCGCGATTTCTTGCTGCGTCCGCGATAACCTTCACTCAATAAACACGAGCCCCAGTTGAAGGCTGACGCAACGTTCGGCTAAGTGAGTCGAGCGCTGCATCAAAACACAAACAAATAATCTATGTTGTTGTTGTGCCCATTTGTGTAGTTCTGCGTGTAGCCTCTAGGTGCGCGGCGGTTGGATCTCTTTCCCAATATTGAGTACGTCCTAGCCAGGAAAGGATATGGGTAACGTAACCAACAACACAGTTATTGTGTTACCATAAAGTCGACACAAATAGCGAGCATTGAATTGCATTATAATCAGACTGTCTCAACGTTAACGTGTGAGACATTCACTTCATATGTTGATGTTCCCTCGCCTTCCTTATGCTACTTCAATTTATTTTAAATTATCTTCTTAATTCACTTGTCTGGGCTTTTAGATATTGTTATCATAGCCATGTTTACATCTTTTTTCTTCTCCCACTATCGTTCAAGTTGCGAACCTGATGGCCGGCACGGCAGATGAGTGACCACAACTATGGGACCTTGGCGCTGTGGGCTAAGAGTAGATTGTACGTTGAAACTTGCGTGGTTTGAAGCAAATAATCGTGCTTGTACCTCAAGGTGTGGGCATGTGTTTAGTCTAACCCACAGTGTGAATGACTGCCTGCGTGTGTTCAGCGTGTACGTTACCACGGCGCATCTTGGAGCTCGTGTAGCAAAATATCCCGCTGCGAAGCCCGGGAAATTTGATTTTTTTTCCTCACATTTCTTCTCATTTTTACATAGATGACCAAAATTCCAGCGTATGCTCGTGTAATCGTTTCCATATGATGCACATTGAAGAATCAAAAAAAGCTGTCGTGTTGTAATGGCTGGCGTTGTCATGCCCCTTGATCAAGTCTAACTTTACGCTGTTTAAACATGAATAGAAAGTCTGACTTTCTTTTGTCTCATAACGTTAATCTTTCTTCGCTTCGTCGCTCTATCAAGTAACGAGCAAAGGTCTATCCGCTCAGTTAAAAAAAGGCTCGTAATAAACCTCTTAAAAAAAAAAAGCAACATTAGTGGTTGCCGTTTCAACATATGCAACATATGCAACCACGAAAGGGAAACTATAGAACACGTAATTTTAAGGTGCACGAACTTCACCCCACCCTTTTAGAAGGAAGGACTACGGATTTGGAGGGGGCACTGGAATTTACAGCCATGTATGGACGATTGGATAGGGAAAAAATTGCGGTAACTAAGAGGAGATTGGAAAATTGGTAGAAAAAATCGACGGAGGGGTCAAAAATAAGCAATGGAATCACTTAAAAAAAAGGGGGGGTTGTGTTTTAACAAAATTTATACAAATTTAAAGAAAAAAAAAGGGATGATGATATGTTAGGCTAGGTAGCGCAAGGTGCCATCCTGGGCACGAAGGGCGCGATTGGATCTGAACCCTGGTGGAACGCTGACGAAGCACTCGGGATCTCTAATAACCAAGCCGAGTTCACTCCGAAGTCTGTCGGAGCCCTTAATTTCTGTCCAACCCGTGCTCAAGATGCACGCTCTAACAACGGCTGATTCCGACAATTGACTCGGCAGCACGAGATGGAGCGCATATTTTGGAAAAGGATATTTCGGAACGTGGAAAAACCAACGTCCTTTGCAAAGAAATGTCTTCCTCCGCAGTTCCCCCGAAACGACCGGTGATCTTGGACGAGAACGAGACCAGGATCGAGAACACCACTCGTCCCTACCGGGAAGGGGAGGACATCACACTCACCTGCGACGTCTACGACGGTAAGCGCCCACTCCTCCTCCTAAAAGCGCAGTCATGCTGTTCGCACATCATTCAAAAATAAATGGTGTTAGCAGCAGACATGCCGACAAAATTACCATCGGACACGTCTCAAGCTTGTTCGTAGCATGTTGGCTTCATTCATGTTTCGATAGTGTCTGCAATCGTTTTCTGTTTCACCAATGGGACGGGATCGTCATGCATGCCCCAGACAGTAGCTGCGTTCGATTTACCGGTACCGATGCAGAAAAGGGTAGGGCAGTGTACTTCCGGTATCTGTAGTCAGATACGACCGGAAGTACACCGACCTGCACTTTTCTGCACCCGTGCAGGAGGTGCGGGTAAACCGAAAGCAGCTACTGCCTGCAGACGGTCTTTTGTAGAGGGCATGAGAAGCGTGGCCGAGGCTTCACGGCTTTTTGTCCAGAAGAGGCATCCGTACGCGCGGGCCCCGCTCCCGCAGCGGCGAAAGCTGGAACTGCAGTTGGTGTCCTCGGAAGGGGAGTGGCGCTACCTCTCGTGATGCCCTCTCCGCGACTCATCTGAGTCGCGGAGGAGGCGTGAGAGGTAGCGCAACTTCCTTTCCGAGCGCCAATCGTACTTGGAGCTTTCGTTGCTGGGTGTCGCTTTTATGTGAAAATGCGTGCGGTGAAGGGGAAGAAACTATACACCCCTTGGTTCTTGAGTGTCTGGCTCTTGCACCGGCAGCAGACCTCGGCACAAGCATCGAGCAAGGCTTCGGTTTTGCCGGGGAGAACACGCACGTGCACTGCTCAAAGTGGAGCCTGCTGGTGGTGCAGTGCATTGTTGAAATTCGACGGGTAAATACATTCTGCTTTCTGACTTTTTTTTTTTTTTTTGCGTGTCTATTTGGTAGACGTTTGATTCGAAAGGAATCGCCACATAAATACATCGCACATACATATATGCATGTGGTTGAAGATGGGGCTAGGTGGCGCCAGTCACCGCCAGATTCGAGGAGAACGGCCGCCATGCATCCATCCCTTCATCCATCGGTTCATTTTAGATTAAGGACACGCTTACTCTAGAAAAAAAAAAACGTGAATCACACCCCTATAAGTCTCACGGTGCAAAATCACTAATCACTGTTCTTCCTTATAATCAATTAACCACTCACAATGAACACGCTTCTCAATGAACAATGAGGGTGAGCATAATAATCCCGTTTCTCTGGATGCAATTACCGTAAAAGTTTCAGGGTATACAGGGCTTCCACTGCTCAGTTTATGTTGCAACTGACTATGCGGTGCGCAACTTCGTCTGCTTTTTGCGCAGTTGGTTGCAGTGACGTCGGAATGCCGAACTCCCATTCGCTCCGACTGGAAGGATTGTGTATACACTTAAAGGCAGCTATCATTGAGGTCTACGTATTATTCTTCTAATCGGAGCCAATCAGAGCTCGGCGTCGTTCTGACGTCACTGCAACCCCAGCACAAGAAGCAGACGAACTTGCACTCCGCATAGGTACCGACAGCCAAACTTTCTCAACTTGTAATTCCTCCAAATTAAAAAAAAAAAAAAAAAAAAAAAACTGCAGGGTGTGGCTTATTTACTACACGCCCCTTTCTTTGTGATTGGTTGTTTGGTGATTACATCGGTTGATGCCCCAATCTTATTGGCTGCGGAGTGATAATGAGATGCAAGGGGCTGGCCACACCCTGTGATCTTAAGCTGTTCCTGACTATGCCAAGAATCGCATGGGACACGCTGCTCTTGCTTGCGGATATGGTGTACTTAGGCAACAGAAGAAACAGACTGTTTATTCGCCCTTTCTCGCGTGAGTTAAAACGTGGTGACGCCAGTGTACGAATCATAGAAGTATTATAATGCACGTTAGACTTTTAACTTGCGCTAGTGTGCTGTCGCAAATTGTAGCAGACAACAACCAGTCGAACACTGATTTCCGGTAGAGCATTTTTATGGTGAAAGTGAGTGCAGTTTCTTGCTGCGCTCGACTATAAAAGCAGACATCCCGAATAATTCGTACGTACTAGGTAGCTGGGAACATTTCTCAGTCAGGCAGACGAAATAATTGCAGTTACGGCCTTTTCCTTTCAAATCAATTGCATTCAAAACGGAGCTGAAACGGTTTCGTACGTGCATTTATCTGAACTGTCGGACACTGTTAGAGCCGCCATAGCGTCGGCGCTTTCCAAGAGGGGAGATATACGTGCCAAAAAAACGAAGGACATCTGGAAAACGAGTAGAGGCGGCAAGACCCAAGCAGTAACGCTGGATCAGTAACTCCCTGTGCATGTACGATCAAAATAAAGTGAAGGTCCCTGTGCCAAGATGTTTATTCTACGTTGCAAATATCACCCACACGCTCGAAATCTCTGTGAGCAACCGGAAAACAGGCGTTTATAAAGCTGCCCGGGTTAGGAAATAATAAAAAACAACTTTCGTAGCCTATATTTTTTATTTTTACATTTTGAATGTTTTAAGCGCTCGTAAAGATGCAGGACGGGGTTATTTGTATATAGTGAGGACGTGCCTATCAGTAGTATATAAGCGCTACCGGAATGTTGGCGAACCTTGAACACACTCTACATTCCTTTCGATTTTTATTTTGCTTAGAATCGTCGCTCGTTTTCACACACCTGCCAAGGAACAGAGGTTTGGACCTGAAATATAGCGAAGTTTAACATCGCTCACTGGGCAATAAAAATACTGTAACAAAAGCAGTTACACTTTTACAGTGTTAATAAAGGTCCCGACTATTCGGTACGACCCAAATACCAAGTGTTCGCTATGTTATTTTCCGACGAAGAGACAAAATGCACGCGCCTTTTCCCATAGGAATACACAGGAGCACCGCGAGAGTAGATTGGTTGTGGATGAAGAAAGAATAAAACAATTAAAACAGGGACAACACAACCACATCTTTCATTGTCCCTGTTTTAATTGCTTTATTCTTTCTTCATCCATGACTTAAACCAACACGCTCTTCTCCCAAGCATAGATTGGTTGCTGTATGCTTCGATTGAAATCCCGGAAGTCGCATAAACACTAGGGCCAGTTGGACCTCTGGCGTACATAATAAGAGCTCCACGGTACAAATAGCCCCCAACTACTTCCAGTTCTGGACTAGATGGCGGGTTTCGCAGTATCTGCGAAATCAAATATGCGCGCTATCTTCTGGAGATTACCACTTAAAGCACTGTCAGATCTAATTCGCTCTAATAATAAAAAAATGACGAGTCAAAATTTAACAATATAGGTGATTTGGAAGTTTTACGAGGCTACCCAATAGATGGCGTAGCGAGGTTTAATGCCAACAACAAAAACTTTCAGCCTTTCCACTCTGGCGAAGAAGGAAGACCAGCGGAGCTGTGCAATGGAAAGTAATGGCCGGCCGCATGTCGGGAAGCCAGAGTGGAAAGGCTGCCGCCATCTATGAGCGACGGCGGCAAGCCAAGTATCTGGTTGCCGCCTTCGCTCGTAGATGGCGGTAGCCGTCCAGAGTGTTGTGTCGACATTTCTTTCCGGGGGGCATGATCCTGGGGAAACTAGCCCTTAACAGCTCCGCTGTAAAAGAGTGTATACAAATAAGCCAGCACTTGCCCGTACCTTGTGTGGGCACTGCATGCATGTTCGCAGAAGCCAGATCTGAGAAAGCAAAAGCATCTGCGCATGCGCGGTGCCGACAGAAGCGCCACCGTAGTGGTGTGACGTCAGAAAGTTGAGTTGGGGTATAATCGGCAAGCGCCAAACAGGGTCTCGTTTTCACTAAAGCAACCAGAACGGGACCCGTAAGGAATGCAAACGTTAATAAGTAACAAAAAAAAATTGTTTTCTTCTTCGCAAGTTACATAACATTGTTTTCCAATCCGGAACTGTGCAGCTGACATACAGCAAAAAATGCCGAACGAAATGAAGCACTCTACAACCCGCGTGCGTTTGAGGTTATGAAGCCTATTTGTCTTCGTTGAAAGCTCGTTCCGCCGACAGATGTCGGTGCGCTCAAAAGGCTGGAAACAGTAAGTGCGCTCGAAAGCCTCGAATAAGTAATCTAAGAAATACCCAACCGCTCCCACTCACCAAAACCTTCCGTTGCCTCGCGTTCCTCCACAAGCTTGTTCCTTGTAGAAGGAACAGCGGAAACCGCCGATTTCCAGCGTTTGGTGCTCTTATTTCGCATTCGGCAAGGAGGGCGGTCTGGAAGATTCCCAAATTGCTGAGGTTCGAACCCATCCCCCCCCCCTCCCCCGCCTAGTGAGTCGTGAATATGTGATGTCGTCGTCGAACGTCTAGGCAGAAAATGTCCGCAAGATTCGTTCGACCGCGAGCGGAAATATGTAAAGAATCTACGAAGCCGGCGGTTCTGGAACGAGTCCACCCCCTGCCCCCCTTTCAACCCCCTCCTCTCCCCTCACTCGCGTGCTTCTGTGCCTCGGTATACTCCATTGCTCTGTTTCGATTTTGCTTATTTAAGGAACCCACCCGAGCGATGTTTCATAAATTGCGGCTCTTTTTCTCCGTTCCGCCACCGCGAATCCGCCAACAGTTTTATCGAAGCGAGCGTCGGTGTACAGTGTAGAGCGTGTTCGGGGATCCATATATGCTCCGCTCACCTCTAAGCTGACAGTGCGGTGGAGGCTACGTTCCCTCTTCGACCAATCGCGCGTCCATCTTTAGCCACGTGATCGTACTCCGGCTCCTACCCCCGCGCAGGGCGGGGTCAGGTGATGAAAGGGAGGCGGCTCATTGGTTGGGCGAGCTCGCTGCTGCTACCTCACTATCAGCTTAGGGGTGGACGGAATGCGGCTGTTACTGCAGTGTTTCTTTTTAACCGTTTCACTGAAAAGTTTAGATTGGTAGAGGTTAAGGCCCGGCGGCCCTTTTTGCAATGCACAATTCACGAAGGGGTCGCACGTATAAGGCCATCTTGGCCGCACGTAGACATGCAGCGTGCCGACAGCGGTGGCGGCGACATTTATTTCGGGGAACGCATAGCCTGCCCTTAAAAAATTCAATAGTC